TGGAGGAGGACTAATGCGACGGCACTTCAGGCGACGGGGGCACGGTCGTGGGAACGTGTCGGGGAAGCAGGTGCTGGGTGCGGGCCCAGAGAGATGTCAGGAGCGAAGGGCAACATGGAGGCCTTTGCGAGCTTGGAGGAGTGAAGGATGCAGCAATTCACGCAACAGCGGCTTGGAAGGCTGGCACGTTGGGGAAGCAGAGCCGGAGCGGACCAAGGCGAGGCGAGGCTTTGCTGTTTGGGATAGCTAACGCGACTAGAGGCCCCATGAGAGAGGCCGAGAGATCCCCACGACCTGGCACACGCGACCCCGCCAACGAGGAACCGCTCGGGACTAACGCGCCGAAGCCACAGGTTCCATCCATTGCTGGCGAATTGTGTTGCCCGCCTGGTGGGGCTCTATACCGAAGAACATGCATAGAACAACACTCGCCATTCCATGATCCGGCGGCCATGCTGAGCAGCACACGCTTCCCGACTCTGTGCCCAGCCAGCCCGGTGCCTGGCGAGCAACAACACGCTCAACCGCCATGCATGCTGCTGCGGCGAGGCTAAACTCCCACCAGTCATGCGCCGCGCTTCTAGAACAAGACTGGCAAGCAACCGTGGCGCTTGTTGGCGGCCCTCGTAGAGATCGCCATTGGAGAACGGACGAACGTCTTCTAGCGTCTTCCCGTATTGTGGTTGTGACATGCACTGTGCGAGTCCAGAGCACCACGACAGCTGCTGCCCGCCAGCAAATCTCTTCTGTTGCCCGCCAGCTCCATCTCACATTTGCTGGCTTCCAAATCTCAAGCCCCTCTCGACCAGCGGCCACCTTCCCGTATTACGCTGCACGCACGGCACACATCCCCCGCATGCGGCTTGCATCTCGGACAGCGCGTCAGCGTGGTGGGTCCGGACGAGAGTGTGTCCCAAGTAGCGCTGGGCAAGGCCCAAGTCACGCGTGACATTATCCACTAGACTTGTATTACTGTCCGAGACATACTACAGAAAGCAGACATCCGCGAGACGCCATCGCTCTACAGAAAAGCCTCGGAGGGCGGGTATGTGTTCGTGTGCGCCTGCCGCTGCAAATAGCCACGCGACTTCTCATTCACCCTTTTACCCGAACTCCATCGCAGCTTCCATGCAAACCATAGAAAGAAAAAAACTACACAAACACCGGGGATATGGCGCCCAGCATACAGATATAACACATGAATGAATGCAACAAAAGAACGTCGCCACAACAGCAGCCTCATAATCTCCGCAGTCGCTTGCCAGCCCCCAGCTCAATGGCCGTGCGACTGTTGAGAATGAGCTCTTCGTTGCCACCCTCTGGAGGGTTGGCCTGAATGTATTCGCGCCGTATGCGTGCAGCTTCCTTGTCCCACGTATCTACGCGTTCTTTGAAGTCTGCTGTGCTCGCCGTCGCGTCGTCTCGTGCAGTACTGGCTTGGTCCAGGTACGGCTGTTTGACTTCTTGCTCTGCTGTGCGCCACCTCAAGCCAACTGCATTACGAATCTCCTGTTTCGGTGCTTTGGCCTCGGGGTTGCCTGTCCTCGCTTTGTGAGCGTCATCGCACTCCTGCTTGCAGATGTACCAGAAGTCTTTGGTGAACAGTAGGAACGGGTTGACACCTGTACGTCCTGGCTTGATCGGACGTTCACCAATTTGGTCTAGAATAGCCCCTATGATAGCAGCTTCGTAGTCTTCGTCGCGTTGTACCCGCCCAGATTTGTCCTCTCTTGGTGTTGATGTTGTAACGGCGGGCTCGAATCGGCGCTTCGTTTCTATGCTGGGTGTCGCTGGAGATTGTTCTACTTTGATCACCTTCTTCTCAACGAGTGGACTTGATATCTTGATGGGCCCCAAAATTGTCTCAGCAACCTCTGCAGCGACCCGGAGGCCTGATAGGTACGCGCCGTGCACCGTTGCGGGATGTGTGCCACAAGTCGCTTCACCAGCGAAGTGCAGTGGGCCATGTGGCCGCGCCATCACATCGTAGTCACCTGCCTGTGTCTTTGGCCCAACATATGAGTAACTGCCTCGAGCAAATGGGTCTCTCTTCCACCGCGTTACAATCGCTTCTGACGGCAGGGGAACGTGGTTCGGTGCGAACATCGCATCGAGCCGGTCCGTAACCTCTTTGACGAGCTGATCGTTCGATGTCGCTTCGGCGTAGTGAGCAGCGTCGCCTGCCATTAGCGCTATCAGCACTGGCTTTCCGCTCGTCTTTATACAGTTCCAGAAGAGATAGAACCGTCCACGTTTGGCGGAGTAGTCTTCGGGTTGCATGCTGGCTTCGTCTTCTGCTTTGTTGAGCAGGCCGAACATGTCTCGGTCTGGCTCCCAGAAGGCTTTTTCGTACACCAGAACAATCTACGTATGTTGTCAGAAGGGGCAGCAATGACTGAACAGTTGAACTGACCTTGTTGAGGAGACCAAAACCCATTCGTTCTATAACGTCCTGCTTCCAGTCAGGGAGAGGAGGTTCGAACTTGATCGATCCAGACTTCAGCACTCCCAGAGGGGTGGTCAGAACGACCTGGTCGGCCTCGTAAAACTCGCCGTTTGCGCACTCAATTCTAACAGCTTTGCCTTTATGCTGTCCGTCGGTATTGTAATGAACGGCTTTGATGGGGGTGCTAAAGCGGACATCCAATCGATTGGGACATTGCCATAGACCGCGCGGGACTTGTTGGTAGCCTCCTATTACTTCACTATGTTCGCCCTCGAATTCATTGCCAATATCCTGATCCCAGCCGCTTAGACTAAGCTGGTTGACGCTAACAGCATTCGCATATTCGAGATTGGCGTGATGCCAACTCAACAAACGCATGTCTCTGGGCTTGAGATCAACCAGTGATTGATACTGAAGGAGACCTTCGTCCATTGTCTGTCCAAGTGTGGGATACTCGGATGCTCTCGCAATCGTATCGAGATCTAAAGACTGCATCTTCGATGCACCCGCTTTGAGCTCCCAACCCATACTTTGGACCGTTTCAGCTGCCGTAACATCCGGGTTGAAGCCTGCGCTGAGCTGGTATGCCCTGCCCGCTAGCTTCTCTACCCCCGTTGTTGGTTTTTCTTGCTTCGTTGACGCTGTGCTCGTAGCATTTGCGGCCAAAGGAGCATCAGAATGTTCTAGCTCAGCAACAGTAGGCCCATCGACATCGGCTGGCTCACGACCAAAGGCCATCAAGTTACGATCACCCTCCACTGTCCTATGAGCCGCTGGCTTGTTCCGATATACTGCCGCTCTTTCCAAAACATCATTGTACAGCTTCTCCACCAGGATGTCCTGGCTTCTCTCCACCACCGTCCCATCGTAGTCGTATAGTATAGTGTTATCGCGGAGGCCATGGTAGGGTATACCGAGCTGACCTCGGATGATCGCGTTCAACGGGTTGCCGTGCTCGAATCCGGTGACGATCTGGGCGCCCATCTCAGCTGTACAACGATGTCCAGGAGGGAGCGTTGAGCTGAGCTGATTGAGAAAAGGATGCGAGTAAACCCGGCCACCAACACGCGGACGAGCTTCTAGTATTGTGATCTTCGGTGGAAGTTCGCCCGCTTCTGTTAATTGATCACCTAGCTGGGCGAACAATCCTTCCAGATGGCGAGCGCATCCTAATCCTGACATACCCGCACCGACCACAATGATTGAACGTCTGCGTGCGACTTTAACCTTCGATTTTGGGAGTGTACCGGTAGTGTCAGGTACTTCAGCACATCCGAAATTGATATAGCCGTTCCGCATAAGCCATAGATATGCTACCCTTGCTAGACCGAAATGGCGCCTGTCGCGGGCGCATCCTGCAGCTTCTTCGAGAGAGACATACACCAGAGGATTACGATGCCATAGCCGAAGTATCGCATTCCTGATGTTCAAATAGATGGTGACCTGGGCGTGAGTTACATGTTCTCGTAACAACTTGTACTCAGCAGGATGTAAGGTGAACGGATTCAGCCGGCTGTTCTCCGCTGCTAGAATGCACTGTCGGCCAAACTCCGGCCACGAGAGCTCTGCAGGTATGCTTGAATTTGCCTTCATCTCGTTGACTTTCCCTTTTGCCGGGAGCGAATTTGTTCTCCGATGCTTCTTCTGTTGCTCGTGCGGCTGTGGGAGCTCAGGAGTTGAAGATGATTGTGATGCGCAACTCAGGCTTTGTGGTGTTCTTGCCATGAATGCAGCATCCCCTCGATGATTCCTTAATGATAGATGGGGTTTCGCGTCGTTTCCGTCAGGAATCGCATGCGAATTGTCGTCGTTCAGATGCGACATTTGTTTGTTCTGGGTATTAGTCATGCCGTTGATGGCTGAGTTTGGTGTGAATGGTTTTTGCAGTGGCGAAGGAGTATAGTTGGTCCCATATCCATTAACGAAAGCGCTTGGGGTAGACCCTTCTCCCTCGTGACTTGTACCCAGTTCCGATGTATCGTGAGAATCGCCGTAGTGTACGGACGATGCACTCGATTCCCGGCCGTAGCCCAAGTTACTAAACCCAGGTATAGGTGTGATGCCGCCTTTCAGATGTATACTATCATTGGACATTGGCATCGATAGGAGATCATCGTGAGTTTGGTCGAAGAGATAGGTTCCGTCATCGAGTGCGGTAGGATCGGCTGTGGATTCGATGTTGAACATGTTGATGAAGATGTGGTGAGGGAAGATGGGAGGCACCTGACAAGGAAGCGGCTACAGGCCGCAGTCAGTAGTCGGCCACAATTCCACTAAGATTGTCAGTATGTATAACGAGTGAAGTTTGTTGCGAAAGCATGAGAGGTTCGGTTGAAGTTGTAGCGATGGGGGTGGCAGGGTGCAGGTAGACGATAGACTGATGCCCAGACTTGTGGAGGTCGAAGCACGAAAAGAAACGCACCATACCCGCCTAGGCAAACTCCGTCTAAGCCAACCCCGTCGTTCCTGACTTCATCCCTCTCCCGACCACGTCTGAGCATCCATCTTCCATCCATCATGGCGATGGCGGACACGTACAAAGATCTTATTGTTAATGTGTAGCTTGGCATCTAGGAAGCGCCGACATCTGCAAGCCGACCCCGCTCTTACGGAAGCGAGCAGTACTACAACCCATTGCGATGACCAGCTCGAGACCACCCACGTCTCCATCTCAAAGGCCTTCCATGTGGGTCTGTGCGTCGTGCGAGGCATACGCATTCTCTCCTCTTGCTGCGTCGGCAGTCTCGTAGCATGGCTTTGGGCTCTCGATTGTGTAGCACATATCTTCGTTCATCCTATTGCGCGTTGTGAGGTAAGGTTCATCTGCCGCAGCGAACCGTGCAGCTGACAGAAAGACACATGAGGACGGATAGTGGTATACGGTAGGTTCATCTTCGATATGCATGTATCACCTTGGTTAGATCAGGACTGATAAAGACACACAGAATCTCAGAAGCCATCTATCTGCATAAACTCCTGCGCAAGCCTCTCCCAATCTGAAGTCGGAAATGCGACTGCATCGCACGTATCAACCGAAACTCAACATCTACACCGTCTATGCGAGTCGCTATCCTTCGACTTTTCAATATCACATTTCAACGCTCTTCAGCGCGCTATAGGCTACAAAGATACCATCGAAGACGCCATCTGCTTGTTTGTAGATCTATGTGTCGACCAATGCACACCCAGAAGGGTGTCATATGGATCATGATGGTCTCTAACGCGGATGGCATACTTCGAGGCCGACAATAGGCGCTCCACAACAAGTCAGGGCAGTTGGGCCTTGCTAGCACAACTCCTGGCTGCCTCTCTAGTGATTTAGAACATACGATATTAGAGCAAGCATATGTGCTTAGAGGAGAGTATGCGGCTACTGTGGTACACCACAGTTTTGCAGCTCTTGTTTAAAAGCTAGCTGAGCATTTTGGACCTTGAATACCTGTCATTTTCCAAGCTTACTGAAAAACCGTATAAGTCATTACAAAAATATCGAGTGTACATTTGCCCCCAAGTCGTTCAGAGTCGTGAGACATGATTATGAAACCCTAGATAACCTATGATAATCACGTGGTACGTTTTGTCGACGCTAACTTGGAACACTTCGTATGCCGAGGCGATTGTGTCGCGCCGATTGCCAACATTGGAGCACACCGTCTTCTGACTTCACTTTTTCAACTCACGACCTCGCACAATAGACAATGCGATGGCCTTGGTCACGCAACGACGATGACCAACAGAAAAGCGGACTGCCTCAATGGGCCCCTCCAGCGAAGTTGGACAATTGGTCAAGCACGCTGTATGAGCCACGGACTTTGATTCCGGCTGTCGCTCTTACAGTCTCAACAGTTGCTGGTGTCCGGCTCTACAAGACTTATTTGCGTCGCATACCAACCGTCAACCATATCAAACCACGCTACTACCGTCGGAAGGGTATATTTGGCCAGGTCACAAGTGTAGGAGATGCAGACAATTTCAGGCTGTTCCACACGCCAGGTGGGAGAATAGCTGGGTGGGGTATCCTGCCCTGGAAGAAAGTACCAACGAAAAGAGAGGACTTGGTCAGGCAAACAGTAAGTACTCTAGAATAAGAAGACACTAGGCGTTGTGGTGGAAATATTGCACCCAATGAATGGCTGACTTTATGCCCAGCTTCACATCCGGATTGCTGGAGTCGACGCACCAGAACTTGCACACTGGGGCCGAGAAGCTCAACCGTTCGCGAAGGAGGCCCATGGATGGCTCATCAATTTGATCCACACCCGCCGAGTACGCGCATACATATACAGACGCGACCAGTACGATCGTATAGTAGCCCAAGTCTTTGTACGCAGATGGTTCTTCAAGAAAGATGTGGGGCTGGAGATGTTGAAGGCTGGCTTGGCTACAGTATACGAGGCCAAAACAGGTGCCGAATTTGGTACTGCTGAAGAAAAATATCGCGCTGCGGAAAAGAAGGCTCGTGAGAGCAAAGTTGGGATGTGGGCGAAGCCGAGCTTTGCACAAAGGTTGGTAGGCACAAGCAGTAAGACACTGGAGAGCCCACGCGAATACAAAAATCGACATAACGCAGCGGACAAGGCAAAGAAGGCTGGATGAAGAAGTTCGGCGAGAGGAGCTGCCAGACCGCTGCTCATGTGCAGAAGCAGACAAGTGCTGCGATCGAGGCAGGAAAGCGCCAGCCTTGTTCATCGTGCCGGTCCAAGCTATGAAGAGTCACCAACGGTCCGAAGACCCCACAAAGCGAATTAGCGTATTGGCATTTATGATTATTGGCATCTTCGGGGTACTTGAATATAGTGACTGCAAAGCAAGCATCCTCCGATATACAGGTCGTCGACTGGCTCTTCGACCGAATGTGTATATGTGAGAGTCGCGATTCATGTTGCGAGTCCTCAAAGGGATTTATGACTACTAAAAAGGTGCACATGGTACTGAAAGTAGTAATGCCCTGGTACCCGCAGCGCACAGATGCAATAGTTAGCTCCCGTGTGACTGTACCCATTGAGAAAGCTCTGCGCGACCATGTCAAAATTTCTTCTCATTTGTGTCAGATGCTGGGGATCTGAGTTTCGGCGCCGTAATCGGTCCTCCGCATCGATGTTCTCCACGACGAGCTGGAAACAACTGTGAATGTTGCAACTGCATCGGACCTACCCATGACTAGATCGCACGTCTTGCGTGAGTCAAATCTTGAGAAATGCATTGTATAAGAGAGAGAGTAAATGCAAATGACTGGATACTACCCTTCATCCATCGCGTCTTCAAGGATCGCCGACGGTCTTATCTGTGCGTTATCGGAGATAGCTTAATTGGCCCGTCGCGCATCATTGGAATTTTTTGGCTGCCGCATCACAGCTTCCCCACAGATTATACATAAACCCTGAGGGAGTCATTCGTGCTCTGCTCAACTGGGTCGAGCTATAGCCCTTCAATTGCACCTGTCGGCCACCGAGCGACCTTCTTCCCGCGCGTTCGACGCCTCATCCTCCATCTCCATCTTTTGTCGCGCTCGACGCTCTCCAATTGCTTGACTGCCTGCAAATGGCTCTCTGCGGGCGTCTAGCACGTCGCGTACCTTCCCTTACAGGTCATACTCGCTCTATTGCACCTTCCACATACTCTCGAAGTTTCACAACCCGAAGTGCTCGGCCGTTGACTTCGCTCCGCTCCAGCACTGAGTCACCTGCCGCTCTCCGACAGCTGCGGGCATTCACAAAGGTCGCGTCCGCATTTAACAAGACACAGACCGCACCCAATGCAGAGGCATACCTGAAGAGCGGCGTCATTTCCGGCGCGCAGGACCTTGTTGACGTCAAGAAAGTCCTAGTCATTGGTAGTGGTGGTCTCAGCATTGGTCAAGCCGGAGAGTTTGACTACTCAGGTAAGCACTCGTGCCCATGTAAATTTGTGCCATACTCACGATTCATCAGGTTCACAAGCACTCAAGGCCCTCAAGGAAGCTGGCGTCAAATCCGTCCTTCTCAACCCCAATATTGCTACCATCCAAACGTCCCACGTGCTCGCCGACGAAATTTACTACCTGCCTGTAACACCCGAATACGCCGAATATGTCATTCAGAAGGAGAAGCCTGATGGCATTTTCCTCAGCTTCGGTGGACAGACTGCGCTGAACTTGGGTGTACAAATGGATGCCAAGGGCATTTTCGAGAAGTATGGTGTCAAGGTGCTCGGAACTAGCGTTCAGACTCTGAAGACCAGTGAGGACCGTGATCTCTTTGCGCGCGCTCTTGATGAGATCAATATTCCCATCGCCAAGTCGATTGCTGTTTCCACTGTCGACGAAGCACTCGACGCGGCCGAGAAGGTCGGATACCCTATCATCGTTCGCGCCGCGTATGCGCTCGGTGGTCTCGGTTCGGGTTTCGCAAACAACCCGGAGGAGCTGAAGAATCTGTCAGCCCGTTCGCTCACACTGTCACCTCAAATCTTGGTTGAGAAGTCTCTCAAGGGCTGGAAGGAGGCCGAGTATGAGGTCGTCCGTGACGCCAGCGATAACTGCATCACAGTCTGCAACATGGAGAACTTCGATCCTCTTGGTGTACACACTGGTGACAGTATCGTTGTCTCGCCAAGTCAGACATTCAGCGACGAGGAATACCACATGCTCCGGTCTGCGTCCATCAAGATCGTCCGTCATTTGGGAGTCGTTGGCGAGTGCAATGTGCAATACTGCCTACAGCCTGATGGCCTCGACTACAGGGTCATCGAAGTCAACGCCCGTCTCTCTCGTTCATCTGCATTGGCATCCAAGGCAACTGGATACCCTCTGGCGTACACTGCAGCAAAGATCGGTCTCGGACACACCCTCCCCGAGCTGCCCAACGCCGTCACTAAGACCACCACTGCAAACTTTGAACCCTCTTTGGATTACGTCGTCACCAAGATGCCTCGATGGGATCTTAGCAAGTTCCAGAACGTCAAGCGCGACATCGGCAGTTCCATGAAGTCAGTCGGCGAGGTTATGGCTATCGGTCGCACATTCGAGGAGTCATTCCAGAAGGCTTGCCGTCAAGTCGACCCCAAGTACCTTGGGTTCCAGGGCGAGAAGTACGGAGAGAACCTTGACGAGGAACTCAAGAACCCCACCGATCGCCGATGGCTTGCCGTTGGTCAGGCGCTGTTCCACGAAGGCTACACTGTCGACAGGGTCCATGACCTTACTAAGATTGACAAGTGGTTCTTGCACAAGCTTCAGAACATCGTCGATCTCACACATGAGCTTGAGGAGATAGGCAGCTTGTTCGGACTCAAGAAGGAGATTATCCTCAAGGCCAAGAAGCTCGGTTTCTCTGACAAGCAGATCGCCAAGGCTGTCAACAGCACTGAGGACGAGGTCCGCGCACGCAGGAAGAGCTTTGGTATCAAGCCTTGGGTGAAAAAAATCGACACTCTGGCCGCTGAGTTCCCTGCCGATACTAGTAAGATTATGCCCTTCCCTTCATTGATGAGTTTTGCTAACATTTCACAGACTACCTCTACGTAAGTACATCATCTTTTTTTCTTTTCCCCCACCATTTCCTTTACTACAATCACCAGCACCGACTTTGGTCACCGTCCAGTTGATGCTGCCATATTATTCTTTGCGGTGGTTCTGCGAGGCCGGAGAGCTCTCGCGGAATTAAGATTCAAAATCCCGAGACCTGCGACAACCTCCATGACCTTGTATTGTCATTGTGGCAATCTCTTTTCGCTCCCTTGTAGTCGCTAACATATAGTCTTAGACCACCTACAACGCCTCATCCCACGACGTCACATTCGACGACCATGGCATACTTGTGCTTGGTTCTGGTGTGTACAGGATTGGCAGCTCAGTCGAATTCGATTGGTGTGCTGTCAACGCTACCCGCTCCCTCAACGCCCTCGGAAAGAAGACTGTCATGATCAACTACAACCCCGAGACATACTCTGTAAGCAACATCAATGCCTCCATTGAACCTTGACTAACATGTGTTCAGACTGACTTCGACGTTGCCGACAAGCTGTACTTCGAGGAGCTCAGCTACGAGCGTGTCATGGATATCTACGAGCTGGAGACTGCCAGCGGAGTTGTTGTTTCTGTTGGTGGTCAACTCCCCCAGAACATTGCTCTCAAGCTTCAGGAGGTGAGTTATGACTGTACGAAATGCATGTGAAACATACACTAACTTCGCATCTCCACAACTGTAGTCTGGCAAGGCTAAAGTCTTGGGA